ATGGGGAGGTTTAGTCAGAAAAGAACAGGGGCCCCAGGCATGGCTGACAGAGTGATGACAGTGAGGATTGGACAAAAAGAAGCACAGGACCAGGTGAAAGTGCTGTTGAAGACTGCCTGTATGCTCTGTATCACAGATTCTATTTTAAAATAGGTGTTGTCTAATTCAAAATAAATCAAGTTAATAAAATCAGCAGAGGCGATCAGTAAATAATTGTTTACTTGATCATCACATTAAAGAGTAGAAATCTGATGTCTTGGGGAGACTTGTTAGCTTGGCTTGAAAAGAGAAAAAGGAATAAATCAGGTTGGGTAAAACGTACTTTCTCAGAATGCTCCAGGGGAGATATTATATAATTTGGACCAAATGAAGAGGTTATTTTTGGTATTTTTAAAGTTGTCCTTCATCCATGAAGCCTCCCCAGACTGGGTAAGGAAAACGGAGGTTTTAAAGACCTGTACTTGGTCCCTTCTCTGGCGTATCCAATATGTCTATTTTGAGTTAGTTAAATTCAAAAATAACATTCTGAATAAGATAATAAAAAGTCAAAAGTTTAAACAAATTAAAAATGGATGTCTACCTGTATGTTGATGTCTACAGTGTGTGTCTCCTCAAAATCATGAACTCCTAGAAGTAGACACTACTGAGAGCATTCCACAGAACTGTAAACAATGATGGTCCTTAAATTACCTTAATGGATGTATTTAACCATTTGGAGGAATCAACTGTAGCAGCAGTGTAAGCACCTACCAGCTTACATTGCTACATTCCTATGTCCACCATCCCTTCAGGGACTTTTCTATGTCTTGGGTAAGTTTTCCAATAATCCTGATAAAGATGAGAATAACTAATAATAAAGAACATTTAGACAGCTCACCACAGTTTACAAAGTGTTTTCACATCTACTTGTTAAAAGCGAGTATGATTATTGTCCCTGCACTTTATAGAAATTGAGAGTTGGGGAAATCACAAAAATTTTTGGAGGTCAAACAGCTAGTAAGTGGACGATCTGGTCTGCAAAGCTAGGTCTTTGGACAATAAAGTCCCAGGTAATAACAGCTAGAAGGTCTTATCTCTTCCAGAAGTACTTTTGGTTTACTGGGGAATTTTAGTAAGAAAATGTAAAAGGCCTTTAAAAATCAAAAGATTAACTTTCCAATGTTGAGATGTTGAATAATTTTTAGATCATGTCTAGAGTTTTTGTCTTCAATCATACGAGCATCCTCCCGGCATGGCGTCTCCATGATTGGTCCTGCTCTGGTAGGAAACAGGCAGCTAGGAGGTTTGGGTGGCCTGGTTCACTTGGGAACTTATCTTACAACATCCAAATCAACATTTTGCTGTTAATCATTAAGTGGAACATTCTTATTAAGGGTGCCACAAATTTGGATGTGCCATGTCTCTTTGTATAAATAACCAACTGAGGAAAAGTGCTAATCAGTTCTGTATATACCAGTTTAATTACTTTCTATATGATTTATAGAGGTATATGTCCAGAGGTGTTAATTAATGAAATAACTCTCCTTTTTTCCTTTATCCTGAAAATCCTGACCTGACTACACTGAACAGCTCTTCATGCAGATGTCTTTATCAGAAGACATCTAAAGAAAGAAATGGTAGAAGTTAAAAAAAATCATAAACGGGCAAAAAACCACTCTGGAGGGAAGTCAGGATTCTTGGGTTGAAGGCCTGGCTCTGCTTTCCATCCACTGTGTGACCTTGGACAAGACACTTCATCTGCATCTGAGTTTCCAGATGTGGGAAAAATTGTTCTTGAATCTTTTACTTTTACAAATATTGAACTCCCAGCTGCCAATAATGTATTAGCAATTAATCAAACAGCTCAATTTTTAATTACTCTAAGTTTTAATGTATCTGTAGTCTTTAAGCATATGTGCGTATCAGAGTGCCCAGACAGAACTCTGTTAATTCTCCAAAAATGTCATGACCAGAAAACTGCTAAGAACAGAGAATGCACGTGACCTCAAAGCAAGATGGTTTTCTATGGCATACACACACCATCATGGAAGACCTTAATGGAAAATGTAGTCAGTTTGTGCATTGACTGATTTTTCAGTGTGTGTCTAGAAATTCATTATTGAAAGGATATTGGTCTTTCTTATCAGGATTTTGTTTTATAGTGTGAGGGCACCAAATGTTATCAAGTCATTTGCTATATGATCATTTTGGCGGGAGAAGAAAGAACAGACAGAACAGACAGGTAAGAGAAAAAAGGGAAGGAGAAGAATAGGGAAAGAAAAATTCTTAAAAATACTTTGGTTAAGAAAAATCTTTACCTAGTGATTACCTAAAACTAGGAAGAGTAATTTCCACAATGAGGATTCAAAAGAATATAGAGAGATATCTAGTCCTGATATACAAGACTCTCTTAAGTATTCTAAGTCCAAAAAGAAGCCTCCGAATGTAAGATTTAATGGAAGTATCTATTGTCTAGACATTAAACTTATGATAATTTCAACTGTGTTGTACTCAGCTATTT